CTTTGATATTATGATGTTTTAAAAGCAATTCTGAGGTTTCTGGGATTTAAATAGAGTTAATTTCACTATATTCTCTTTGACAGAACCTAATAACAATCACCATCACCACCAATCATACTGCATTGGTTATAAATCTAGTTCAACTAGAAATAAGAAATTCACTTCTACCTGCTAAAATAGCTTAAATAAGAGAGTAGTTTATTTCTTTTTCAGTGTTTCTCGGATATAAACAGTTGTACGGGTTAGGGTGACTTCAGGCTCCATTCTGCTATCAGCAGATGTTGCTCTGCCCACGTGGTGCAAGAGATGTCACCACCACATTACCAATAAAAGGGTAGGGAAGGTAGAAGAAAAAAAATCATATCTCCATTCTTTGGGATACAGAGTCCAGAAGTGACACTTAAATTAGCTGGAATTAATCACAAGGTGAGAAATCACTAGAAAAGTTTTGGGAAATAAGAGTCTTTGGGGGGGGGCAGGGAGAAATCAAACAACCAAATAAACAAAACAAACAAAATAAATAAAACAAAGCGTCTTGGTAGAGGTAACAATGGAGTTTTCAGGACCTCTTGTGGAATAGTACTTCATACCACCCTGAAGCAGTCTGTCTTTGATGAAGAGATACAGCCTCAGGCATCTGATGGAATATTACTGTAAGTCAGAATCAAATAGAAAACAATGAGTTTCTTTTGTTTAATGGGTTTCTATGACAAGGAATCTGGAGCACAGCTACCTGGCCAACTGGAAAAGATTCATCTTTATCTCCATTAAAAAAAAAAAAAGAGGGGAGGTCTGGTGGCCTAGTGGCAAGAAGCTGCAACTACAATCCCAGAGGTGCACGGTTCGAATCCACCAGCTGCTCTGCCGGGGAAGGAGGGGCAGTCTCCTCCTGTACCAGTCAGATCTGATTTGACGGTACGGTACACGCACACAAAAATAATAAAATAAAATTTAAAAAGGTGGTCCAACAGAGTGTGGAAATTATCAAACAATAACAATATCACATGCAAGCAAGTTACTGCTGAAGATTATCCAAAAATGACTGGAACGATACATCAACAGAGAACTGCCTGAAATGCAGGCTGGATTTAGAAGAGGCACTGGGACTAGGGACATTATAACCAATGTTAGATGGATCTTGTCTAAGGAATGTCTGTTATATAGACTATGCAAAGGCATTTGACTATGTAGATAACAACAAATTGTGGTGAACCTTGAGAAGAATGGGAATCCCAGATATTTAATTGTGCTCATGCAAAACCTATACTTGACCAAGAAGCAGTTGTCAGAACAGAGCAAGGAAACACTTCATGGTTCAAGATTAGAAAAGTTGTATGCCAGGGATGCATCCTATCTCTGGACCTTTTCAATCTCTATGTGGAACAGATAATTAAGAAGGCTGGACTTTATGAAAAGGAATGTGGCATCAGGATTGGAGGAAGATTCATCAACAACCTGAGTTATTGACCCAACTTTGCTTGCTGACACTGAGGAGGATCTGAGGTGTTTGCTGCAGAAGGTTAAGAACTGTAGCCTTCAATATGGATTGAAGCTCAAAATCAAGAAAACAAAGATTCTCACCACTGGGCCAACTGACAGCATCATAATAGGTGGAAAAGAGATTGAGATGGTTAGCAGCTTCAGCTTGCTTGTTTCCATAATCAACACTCTTGGTACTAGCAGCCAGGAAACCAAAAGATGATTTGCATTGGAAAAAAATCTGTTGTCAGGAACACCTCCAGAATACTGAAGAGCAATGTTGTCAATCTAGAATTAAAGTGCATCTGACCCAAGGAATGCATTACTTGCTATGCATCAGAGAGCTGGACAATGACTAAGGATGATAGAAAAAGAATTGATGCTTTTGAGTTGTGGTGCTAGAGAAAAGTTTTGACTATACCATGGACTGCCAAGAGAACAAACAAGAGGGTGAAACAAGTCTACTCCTTGAAGGCAGGAATTTTGAAGCTCTGTCCTGTGTACTTTGGGCCTGTTGCAACAAGGGCCTAGTCCTTGGAGAAAGACATCATGTTTGAAAGTGTAGAGGGACAGTGCAAGAGAAGAAGACCCTGGATGAGATGAATTGCTTCAGTGACTCAGATAATGGGGATAAGTGTGTCAGAGACAACGGAATTGGCTCAGGATAGAGCAGGGTTCAGAGCTATTGTACACAGAGTGTCTATTAGTTACAAACAATTCAACAGCACTTAACAACAATAACAACAATGAAAAAGCCGCTCTGGTGGCTTAGTAGGAGTTGAACTGCCCAACTAAAGGCACACAGTTCAAACCCATCTGCTGTTTCAAGGAAGAAAGATGGGCAACATCCTTCTGTGTTATTTACTGCCACTGAAAACCTGCTGGAGAATCAACTATGAAGCCATTCTTAAGCAACAGTACACAACAACAAGAAGGAAGAAAAGCAAAGCATCTACTGGGGAAGAATTATGTCTTAATCACATACATACCTGATAAACACAGTACAAACATTCAAATAAATTGACAAAGTAATAAGAAAGCAAGAGTTTGCTCAAAGTCACATTAGTACAGAACCAAGACTACAATTAGGTTTTCACATTTGTTTCCTTCTTACCATATAACATGGCTTTACAGGTACCGAAATGAGGCCCTGAGGACAGGTTGATTACCTGAGTTTTTGCAAATAATCAGTAGAAGGGTGAAACATGATTGGATTAATGCTTGGCCCAGTTCTGTTTCCACTACAATATAATAACTTCCAAACCCAAAGAGCTCTTGCTTCAGAAAAAGTCACAGCCACCAAAAGATTTCCATTCAGGAGCAAAAGCATATTATTTGGAAACATTTTCATTTTTAAAATGAATCTAAATAATCCTGTATGATGTATAATGTGAGAACTTTTTCTAAATTCTACACCAGGAAAGAAAAAGTTATAAAAGATATATTAGGAAAATTTATAAAAGATTTATCAGGGAAATTAAAATTAGAGTATATATTAGATAACATTATTGAATTAATGTTAATTTTCTTGGGTGAGTAATACTGTGATGAAGTAGAAAAATGTCCCTTTGCTTAAGAGATGCAGGCCAGAATACTCAATAAAAGGATGTTATGTCAGCGATATATTTCCAAACAATTTTTCAAAAATATGCGTAATTATATACAGAGAAAGAAATAACACAAGAATAGCAAAACTTGTAAAACTAGGGAAATGGTGTGTGGTTGGTTTATCATTACTTCAGATTACCCTCCTCAGTTTCAGCAAGCAAAGTTATGTTATTTGTAATCCTGATGCTGTACTCCCCCTCATAAAGCCTAGCTTCCTGAATGATCTGTTCCACATACAGATTGAAAAGGTATGGAGACAGGATGCATCCCAGACACACTCCTTTCTCAATTTTTGAACCAACCACTGTTACCTTGCTCTGTTCTGAGGACTGCTTCCTGGTCCAAGTATAGGTTTAACATGAACGCAATCAACTGGTAGATTATGCTTGCAAACTTTGCTGTAGAAACTGAGAATGACCTGAAGCATATGCTGCAGAAGATCAAGAACTGTGGTCTTCAATATGGTTTGAAGCTCAACATCAAAAAAAAACAAAGGTTCTCACCACTGGGACAATGGGTAGCACCATAATAGACAAAGAAGAGATTGAGGTTGTTAATAATTACAGATTGTTCAGCTCCACAATCAATACTCTTGGCACCAGCAGTCTGGAAATGAAAAGGCAAATTTCATTGGGGAAGTCTGCTGTCAGGGACCTCTTCAAAGTACTAAAAAAGTAATGATGTCAGTCTAGGAACTAAGGTGCACTTGACCCAGGCCGTCATCTTTGCAATTAGAAAGCTTGACAGTGACCAAGGAAGATAGAAGAAATGATGCTTTTGAAATGTGGTGCTGGAGAAGAGTATTGAACATACCATGGACACAATGATAAAGGCAGCTCTATGAGGGAGCTCTGGTAGGCTAGTGGTAATAAATTATGCTACAATCAATCCTGAAGGCATGCAGGTCAAATCCACCAGCTGCTCCATGAGAAAAAGATAGGCAATCTCCTCTCATGCAATTAAACTGCCTCTGAAAATCTGCTGGAGGGTCAGCTATGGGTGATGGTACATCATCATCACCACAACAACAAGGCAGGAAAGGGTAGGGTAGAAGATTAATAGATATGAGACTCACAAGAAGGAAATGGAAGTTTAATAACATAGTGGTCATAAGCAATACATACATACAATAAAATATGTGTGAATAATTGAATGGAAAATGAATTTGTTTTGAAATTTTCATGCAAATCATAAGTTAGGTGGTATTAGTTGTTGAGGACATCTAGGTCAAATGGTTTAACAAAGTCCATGAGGATAAGGTTCTGTATCCTACTCTGGTAAGAAGCCACCGGACTCTAAAAAGCATGTGAGGTGCCATGAGAGATGTAATTACTGGCTTATCTCTGGTGAAGAATGAAGAAAATCAAAGACTAAAGAAAATAATCCCCTTTTCTACGAAGATGGTGTCGAAAGCTAAGAAGGAAGCCCTTGCCCCTCCCAAAACTGAAGCCAAAGCAAAGGCATTAAAGGCCAAGAAGGCAGTCCTCAAGGGCATCCACGTCCAAAAAAAAAGAAGATCCGCACGTCACCCAACTTCCGGTGGCCTAAGATGCTGAGACTCTGAAGGCAGCCCAAATACCCCCAGAAGAGCGCCCCCAGGAGAAACAAGCTTGACCACTATACCATCATCAAATTTCCCCTGACCACTGAGTCAGCTATGAAGAAGATAGAAGATAACAACATACTTGTGTTCATTGTGGATGTCAAGGCCAACAAGCACCTAATTAAACAAGCTGTAAAGTAGCTGTATGACATTGATGTGGCTAAGGTCAACACTTTGATTAGGCCTGATGGAGAGAAGAAGGTGTATGTTAGACTTGCTCCTGATTATGATGCTTTGGATATTGCCAACAAAATTGGGATCATCTAAACTGAGTCCAGCGGGCTAATTCTAAATATAAATTTTTCTCAAAACAAATCAGGCCGAAAATGATCCCACCGGACAGTATGAAGGGCCCTCCCATCACTATAGACAGCAGGAATCTCCATCTCCCCAGCAGCAGCTGACTGTTTCTTCCCAGGTAGAGGGGCTTGGGCAAATGCCCAGGACCCACCGGCTGATAACACTTGCTGATCACATCTGTCAAATTATTACACAGGATTTGACTAGAAATCAGGTCTCCTCACAGCCTCTGCAGCAGCCTCCTACTTCGACATTCCAAAATTCCCCGTCTGCTTTGGTGTCCACACCTGTGAGGACAAAAGCAAGTCACTATAGCCCAGATTCCCAGTCCCAGCCTTTCCATCACCAAAGACCAAGTTCAAGGGTCTCTCCAGAAAGTGTTGTGGACAAATGCAGGGGAAGGCCTGGAAAATCCCCAGAGAGGAGTCTTGTTTCTTCAGAGACCTACGAACCCATTTCCCCACCCCAAGTTCCAGTTGTACATGAAAAACAGGACAGTCTGCTGCTGCTGTCTCAGAGAGGAGCCGAGCCTGTGGAGCCAAGGAATGATTCCCGTTCACCAGCAAGTATAAGCTACTTGCCTTCATTCTTCACCAAGCTTGAAAACACTTCACCCATGGTTAAATCAAAGAAGCAGGAGATTTTTCGTAAGTTAAACTCTTCTGGTGGAGGTGACTCTGATATGGCAGCTGCTCAGCCAGGAACTGAGATCTTTAATCTGCCAGCAGTCACTACCTCAGGCTCAGTAAGCTCTAGAGTCCATTCTTTTGCGGATCCTGCCGGCAATCTGGGGCTAGAAGACATTATTAGGAAAGCTCTCATGGGAAGCTTTGATAACAAAGTGGATGATCATGGAGTTATCATGCCCCAGCCTGTGGCCGGAGGGCCTGGGAGCACCAATACCTCTGTTGTGTCCACTGGAGAGGCACGAAGAGAAGAAAGGGACCCATCACCTAATGCAAGAGGAGGAGTTTGTAAACCAAAGCCAATCAGCAAGTCAAGCAGCAGGAAATCTAAATCTCCTATCCCTGGGCAGGGATACTTAGGAACAGAGCGACCTTCTTCTGTCTCCTCTGTACATTCAGAAGGGGATTACCATCGGCAGACACCAGGGTGGGCCTGGGAGGATAGGCCCTCTTCAACAGGCTCAACGCAGTTTCCTTACAACCCTTTGACTATGCGGATGCTCAGCAGTACACCACCAACATCCACTGCATGTGCTCCCTCTTCTGTAAACCAAGCAGCTCCTCACCAACAAAGCAGGATCTGGGAAAGAGAGCCTGCCCCACTTCTCTCAGCACAATATGAGACACTGTCGGACAGTGATGACTGAACTGAACAGAGGACGAAGAGGGGAGGGCACAGAAGACAGGATGCAAGGGAAGGGTCTCAAGTTTTTGGTGGTTTTAATTGCAGGCCAAAAACCTGTGAGGACTTGTACCCAGAGACTTTCCAGGAAAGCCCGGGCCACAGATGATGAAGAAATGGTGGATTTTATTTGGAGACCTAATGGGGTCAGGGGAGCTGCCTTTGATGCAGGCAATTCAGTGGGTTATAATAGTTGAGGGTTGAAATGCTGAAGATAAATATGTAGTTTTTAAAAAGTGGACAATTCTTGTTCTTACATCTGTTTGTAAAGAAAACCATAATGTCTTTAAATCATTTTTCTGTAAAAAAAAAAAAATTTTTTTTCTCAAAAAAAAAAAGAAAGAAAAGAATTCAAGCAACTATTGAACCACACAAATCACAGACTGCACTACCTGAGCTCAGAAGAACTACATGGTACCAAGCTTTCACTTCTGACTACTCTGATCAGGATTCCAGTAGAAAGTCCTGGGCAGAGAAGGAGGGGGAAAAAATTCAAAGGTAGAATAAAATTTGGAATAATATACAAGACCAGGTTTGCTGGTCTGATAGAGATTATTTCCTTTAGACACTGCCTGGGGATCAACTTTCAGCCAGACAATAGACAGGGTTATAGAGTAAATGTAATATAAGGAAAGAACATCAACCATAACGACCAAAAGGGCAATTGGCCCCAAAACAAAGATAAGAACAAAAGAAGGACAATTGGAAACGAAAAGCTCAGGGAGGAAGAATGCTGTTACATTTTTCTTGTTGTTAGGTGCTCTACTATTAGTAAAGTGTTACTTACTGTGATCCTATGATCAATAGACCAGAACTCTGTCCTATCCTAATAGAATTCTGCTCTATGCTCATCATCTCTGACGCAGTAGAGTTCATTACTGATGTCACCATATCAATCTCTGGGGGATCTTTCTCTCCTTTGTTGACCCTTCATGATGCCCCTTTCCAATGAATGGCCTCACCAAGCAACATGTGCAAAGTACAAGAGATGAAGCTTCGCCATCTTTGTTTCCAAGGAGCACTCTAGCTGCACATTATCCAAGACTTTTTTTTTTCCTTTTGGCAGTCTATGGCATATTCAGTACTCTTCTCCAGAACCACAACTCAAAGGCACCATTTTTTCCTCTGTCATCTTTATTCATTTTCCAGCTCTCTGATGCTTAGTAGATGATTAAGAAGATTATGGCCTGAATCAGGTACATCTTAGTCTTAAAAATGACATCATTGCTCTTCAGTAATTTGGAGAGGTCCCTGACAATGGACTTGCTCAATGCATATGTCTCCTGATTTCCTGACTACTGGTACCAAATGTGTTGATTGCTAATCCAAGGAAGATTAAATTATTGACAGTTTAAATACTTTATCTAGTATTGTGTTGACTTTTGTTTGGTGAAGACCTTTGGGTTGTTTGTGGTGGTTTTTTTTTTCTTTATGTTGAGATATAATCCTGTACCAAAGGCTTTGATCTTCAGCAACAAATGTTTCAAGTCCTCCTCACTTTCTGAAAGCAAGATTGTAATATCTGCATAGTACAGGTAGTTGTTGAGTCTTCCTCCAATCCTGATGCCACATTCCTTTCATACAGTCTAGCTTCACGAATGATTTGATCATCACACAGATTGAATAGTATGTGCAATATGTTATACTGAGAGTATTGTAATTCATGTGACAAATTTATGGCATGAAAAAGTAACTTTATCTGTAACATTTAATGCAGATTAATAATAAAAATTTAGGAGAAAAAGACATGGGTTTCAGATAGACATGCATGACTATCTACTTAACTTTTCTAATGTTTTAGTTACAAAGCATTGCCTTAACACAAATACTACAAGTAGCTGACTTAAAAGAACATAAATTCATTTTCTTACTTTCTAAAAACTAAAAGTCCAAGTCTAGGCTATGGTATCTCCTCCTATTGCTGTAGGAGATCTTTGGTATTGCTTGGCATCTGTCTTCTCTGTGTGTAGGTCTCTATGATTATTCTCTTTTTATAACTCAGAACTGATCAGGTTTAGAATCTACCCTACACTGATATGATTTCAACTGAATATTTCACCATATGAGATTACATTTTGTAAAGTGATCGCATTATCTGTCATGTAAGGTAATTAATTACCTTTTATTGCATTTGTTGTTGGTGTGTGCCATCAAGTCACCTTATGTGATTCACAGAGACCCTAGGTGCAATAGCCCTGAACTTTGCCCTATTCTAACCTAGTCTCACTGTCTCCAACACACCTACTCCTATTACCCCAGTTATTGTATGAATTCACCTTGTCTGCAGTCTCCCTCTCCTCTCCTCTTCCAAGTATGACGTCCCTCTCCAGAGACTGATCCTTCCTGGCCACATGCCCAAGGTATGCGAGACAGAGTTTCAAAATCCTTGCCTCCAAAAAGCAGCCTGGTTTCACCCTCTCGAGGATAAATCTGCTCCCTTCGCCGTCTGTGAAACTCTCCTGGCAAAAGAGTTCAATACTCTTATCTAGCACCACAACTCAACAGCATCAATTCTTCTTCTGTCAGTTCTAGTCATTGTTCAGCTCTCTGCAATTATATTCAATTAAAGAAGTAATCTGCTCTATCCAAAGCCAACTGATCTAGTTCCTTGTAACTACTCTTTGACCCTCCTAATTGCCAGTAACCACTCTGAATGTGAAAGTTGGGCAAGGAATAAGGACAACCAAAAGAATAATAGATGCTTTTGAATTGTGGGAAAGAATTGTTAATAGACCATGGGCTGCCAAAAGAACAAATGTATCTGACTTGGAAGAAGTACCATGTGGATGCTCTTAGAGTCAAAGAATGCATTTTTTTTTAATTTCTTCACTTCTGCTTCCATAAATGTTGACTGTGGATCTAAGTAGAATTAAATCATTGACAATTTTAGTCTTTTATATATCTATTATGATGTTGCCTATTGGTTAAATTGTAAAGATTGTTTTGTTTCTTGATGTCATCTGATCTTCAGTAAGTGCTTCAAGTTCTCTTCATTTTTCTACAAGAAAGATGGTGTCATCTGCATGTCATAGGTTGACTATGACTCTTCCTCCAATTTTTATGTAAAATTCTTCATATAGTTCAGCTTCTTTAAATATTTGTTCAGCATACATATGAGATGCTTATGGACCCTTTTGCACACCTTCCCTGATTTAAGATAATGTACTTTTTATTCCCTTTTTCTATTTGAATTCTTTCTTTTTGGTTCATTCACATCCAGGTTCCTCAAGAGCACAATTAAGTGTCTTGGGATTTCCATTCTCTTCAGTTCTTAAATCATCTCCCTTTAATACTTTTAATTACCATGTATGTATTTCCATACATGAAAGACCCAGATAACTTCAGATAACCACTGATATTAAATAGGCCAAAATTCTTATGTGTCAGTACTTTTAATGTTGTGTACAATTAATTATAGCAAGATGTTCAAAACTTTGCACAAAGTGCAGCCCTCTCTCTTCATTGCCAGCACACGGTACCACAAGAAATCAAACCTGTATTCCAACATCAAGGGCTGAATCTGCTGCACTGCCTTGAATTCTACATACTATTTTAGAGGGGCGAACAAATCCTGGATATTTCTCAGGACAGAATTCTTTTTCTCTTGGATGAATTTTAAATTTGTTTCTGTTAATTCAAGTGGATGACTGGGCAAAAATTCATTTTCACACATGAAAAACCTTTCCAAATAAGATCATGACTTTAAAAATTGTTGCCCGCTGAAAGTTCAGAGAGATCTTAATCTTTTAGCTGAGATCCAAGACCTCTGACATTCATCTTGATCCCAGTCTCTGCATAGCCTCTTTCATCCCCCCTTTCCCTCAGTCAGTCCTGTGTTAATGAAGCCTTAGGGGAACTCATGTTTTTCATTTTTATGGGGTGCCATTTACTTATTTTGTCTTTTGCTCTTTATGCTTTTGTTATTATATTAAATACTCTGTTGCTGCAAGCTAAGCCTGACACAATTGCTCCTATTATTCTTTGAATAATGTTATGATCACACATGTAGGTCATTAATCCATTCATTTTGATGTGTGGTATAATGCAAAGATCCTGTTTTTTGTGTTTTTTTCATATGGGAATTTTCCCAGCACCTTTTACTTAAATTGTTGTTGTTGTTATGTACATCAAGTAGGAACCAACTCATAGCTGACTTTCCAACAGGTTTTCAGAGGCAGCACGTTGTATGGGAGTAGAATGCCCATTTTTCTTGCAGAACAGCTGGTGGTGGATTCGA